CTGGCTGCTGCGTTGTGGACGGCTCTTATGAAGGACGCTGCGAGACTCGAGAGAACATGCGACCGACACAGACCTGATGGAACAGTAATCCGAGCTCAGCTGAGTTTGTAAACTTGACAAATGTCACTCTGACCTTCGTTATGACCCCAGACTGAATGCTTTGCTGCTTGCGTTCATTAAGGACCTAATGTATTTCCCCCCCCCCCCCCCGCACCAAAGAAGTCACGGAAGGCGGTTGCGCTGTACAACAAGAGCAGGTCAGACGGTCAAACATGTCAAATGTAGCCCATCAGATTGCTCAATTTGTCCCCAGTTAGGCTGAAATAGAAGGCAGCGCACCGACGTTGACAGCGCGCCTGCTGCCGGGCCCTTGAGCCTCGGTGGGTGCGTGTGTGTGTGTGTGTGTGTGCGCCGCCGCTGTGTGCGATTGCGTGTGACGCGCCCCCCCCACCCCCCGCCCGCCAGAGGGTCTCACCAAGCATGACTGTGTGTTATTCACACTGATGAGTTCCACTGTTCACTGTCACCTCTCATTGTGGGGGGAAATAAGCCTGTGGAGTGAACTGCGGGCCGGAGGAGAGGCTTCAAACACCAGTTCCTCATCCAGCAAACACAAGCAGATATTCACAAGCAGGGACACTCCAATGTCTTTGTTGTCTTCTGTCACGTTCTTCCGTTTGTGGGGGCCGTGCGTTCAGGGAGGGGGTGGTTGGGTGGGGTGGGGGGGTGGGGGGGGGTGTTATGGTGTTTGATTTGTTGTGAAGACTCGAGCAGCGGGACTCAGCAGAGTCCAGGTTGGACCCAGCGGGCCCGCCGAGAGTGACACTTCCTCTCTCCGTCTCGCCCTGCGGAGAGAGAGCCCTGACAGCGGGGACCTGGTGCTGAGCCGCATCCCCGTTCATCATCACCACAACCAGCCACCCACAGTGGGCGAGGTGAGGGGGGGGTGGGGGGGGGGTTATCTGTGTCACGCAATCGTCCCTTCCCCCGCCGACTCCATGCCTCCCCCCTCCTCCTCCTCCACCTCCTCCTCTGTCTTTGGCCCATCTCCAGAGAGACCAAAGAGCCGGTCTCTCTCGACTCCCTGATTGTTTTTGTTCCTGTGAGCGGACAAATAGAGTTTGGCCTCTTACAAAAGAAAATGCTGGCGCTCATCTGATCTTACTGCCCTAAGGACTGGCCTCGGCCTGAAGGGCTGGTGATTGGAAAATTACAGTGCTGCCGTGGCCATGTTGTCAGGGAGCCTCGGCCAGACCCTTTTCTCTTTGTGTGAAAGGCCATCGGCCGAATGGCCGGCGGTACGCTTTAACCGCGCCCGTCAACGCGACGGATGTGATTGGCTGCCAACGGCGCTGATTTAGAACTGGATCGTTGTCTTGTAATCCCGAACAACAACAACACGCGCTTGATACAGAGCAAACATTGCCGGTAGGCGGATAAACCACTGAAACGACGCCTCTTTCAGAGAGACTAAAGCTGCATGAATCAAATACGTTGGCGTCGATCTGGTCAGCAGGACGGCCGTGAGACAGCAGTCAAGAGATTTGCTCTTTGTGGGGAAAATACTTGTTGCGGCTCCGGAGTGATGCTTCCAGCTTCCCATTTTTGCCGCACAAGTGGCTGCCTGAGAAGTGATTACAATTGGTGGGGGAAGGAGGAGTGCAACAAGGGCCTTGTCAGCACAGACCCTCCAGATTTGAGGTCAATTTCGCCCCCCCCCCACCCTGATTGCGTGTGTTTTTGTGTGTGTGTGTGTGGGGGGGGGGGGGGGGAAAGAAGGTTTAACGTTGGCTCATCGAAACCCTCATCATCACCTGGAGAGGCAATCTCCTCCCTTTGTTTTTTTCCTCCACCATCGCTTCCTTTTATCCTTCCATGCCCCCACCCGCCCCGTCCCTCGCGCTCCACCCCCCCACCACCCCACCCCACCCCTCCACCTCCTCTCCATCCTTTCCTTCCTTCATCCGTATCTCTGCTCCTCTTCCACCCCTTGGCCCTGGCCCTCTGCCTGCTCTTTTGCTCCCCCCCCCCATGTTCGCAAATCACTTCTTCCCGTGTCAGCAGGTAAATTGTTTTGTCCTCCCATTCCCTGCTTTCATTACCTTGTGTAAATTAAGCGATATGTCGTCCACCGGTGCGCGCCAGAGCACACTCACTGCGCCAAACGCCAAAATCATGAGATTTGGCATAATAAATGAAGACAAACTGGCAGTAGCAGTGCTCCTCTCCGTGTGGGCTCGCCTTCATTATTCGCTTAACTTGCCGAAGAAAATGACTTAACCCTGACCCGTGTATTTCGTCCCATATTCACTCCGGATAAAAGCCTTTTTACAGCGCACAACAATTTATATTCCAGCAAAGAGGCTGCTTTTCTCTGTCAGTTTTCCAATCTCAGCTCCTGAACACACGTCATTAAACTTGTCTCGCCTTCCTGTATTTGTCCATCAGTCCTTCTTTTTACATAAAATCTGGCAGCATTATTCTGGGATTTGATGGCACCCACTCATTTTTTCCCCTTGGAATGTTTGATTGGAAGAAATATAGCCGGGCTGGGGGGGCTATCTTCTCTCTTCTTGGGAATCATGCACTTGATGAAATAGTGTTCTCCCCCGCAAGAATAATAAAAACAGACTTGTGCATTACATGGGGCTCTCAATCTGCCAGCTGGGCTGGGCTGAGCGAAAAAACCCACCCTGCCCCTGACAGATTTTTATAGTTATCCCAGTAGATAAATGGAATCGGGTGACCAGGCGGGGGAAGGCCACTCTGCAGGCAGAGCGTTGGCTGCAGGCCTGGACAATAGCACGAGGTGAGGTGTGAACATTAAAGGATGGACCACGAGGAGGCTGGAGCCACCAGAGACCTCCTCTGTTATTGTTCAGAGAGAGATTGCGGACGATGTTAAATCAGAAAACACAGATCAAACACTCAATTCAATTAAGTTTACGATATAAAGCGTGGCTTCTTTCTCTGGTAGTTGCAGAGATAGAAGCAAGTGTGAGTCCCGCGCAACATCCAGGTCTGGCTCCATTGAGAATGAGCTGCAGCTGATCTGCAGCACCCTGTTCTCAGGGTGGTAGGTGTTCGCTTTCCCATTTGGAAGTGTCAGCATTACTATAATACCAAGCTGGCTTCAACGTAAAAGGTCACAGACGTTTGCATGAAGTCTTCTTCCCTTAGTTAAGCTTTGGTTTGTGTAGCTCGAGATGGAAGTTGCGTAAAGCATTTGGTCTGGAATGTAAGATTACTTGTTGATTCTTTTCTGGATTTTGAGCTTTCACGTTGTGCGTGTGTCAAATAGATTATGTTTTAGATTAATATACAGAAAATACAATAATAGTTTTAAAACAAATTGAAAAGACAGAAACATTTTTAAAGGAAATACAAAAGATGAACCGGATGAACAGGAGAGAAAATATCTTTTTTTAAATTAATCTTTTTTAAAACGCAAAGCCTGATAATCTCACAGCAATAATGGCAAACTTATATTCAATTACAAAATAAAGAGTTAGAATGTGCTGGCTTTAAATGGAGGTTGAAAAGTACCACCGGAGATGTACTTTTCGATTTTGGATCCGTCCCTCTGGGAAGATAATCAGCCATAAATGGTTCTGGTTTTCACCTAACTGACTCCAATTAATCAGCCAAACTGAGGAGGTTAATCAATCTACCTCTAGTGCTTTCTACGCCGGGCCGGGAGAGCTTTGTGTACTGTGCATCCTCCTCCTCCTCCCCCTCCTCCTCCTCCTCCTCCTCCTCCTTCTTCTCCTCCTCTGTTCAGCAGTAAAATAAGACAGAAATGCAGTTGTAAGGGACAACAACAAAAAATGTGTATTTGTCCTTCATATTTATTGGTTTGGTAAATTACTGATTTGGTTACTGGTATTTGTTCAATCCCGTCAGTCAATAATAATTCCCACACAAGTGGGGCGGAAAGGATAAAGACAACATGTTTGTCTTCTGTCTTGGTCTCTTGGGCCCGTTGACATTATCCTTGAGTGACGCGCTGCATCTTTCAATGTCCCATGAAAGTGTGCATTGACATTTTATATTTTCAGTATTTTCACACCATCAGGGCCGTCCCACATTGAATATGTCCTCAATTTCTTTGCAAGTGAGTTGCCTGAATGTCACCCCCCCCCCCATGCTTCTATCAACAAAGTAAGTACTGAGGCCCTCAAACTGAAGAGAACCGTCCATAATGATATTACTTACGTATATTTTCCCATCCATCAGACGTCAAACTGTAAAAGGTCTGTAGAACATATCAACCATAGTTTAGAAAAAAACTACATCACTCCGCCATAGTCTCAACAAAACGTGCATTAAGGAAGCATTAATAGCAGTTTGCTTGTATTGTAAAATAGAGGGATATTAATTCAGCTGCCCCCCCCCTTCTTTTATAATCAGATGATTTCATGGTCAACTCTGGTAAATTAGGGCACATCAATTTCCCTCTGTTGAAAATAATACTTAATCTTCCTTAACCCGAGAGCCCCTACACAACTCTGTGTATTTGTTCAAAGCAACAACAAAAAACATTTTTGAACCGTTTATTAGAGACTCAGATACCGAATGAGCAGATCAAGGCTCAGCTTCAACCAGCCAGCAGGTCAACATGGCAGCGGTGCGTCTGGCACAACGACGGCCTCCAGGATCGCACAACAACACACATAACACACTACTTACGCTTTGATTTGCTTGACAGAAAACAAAGCATCCACCAGAGGTTTGTGGGTTTGGCTTTCCAGACGGTTTTGTTTATAGCTGATTCCACCAGGGGACAATAAAACCTTTTAACAAGAGATCTCAAGGTAGGCGTTTTACTGTCATTTAAGCTTGCTATTGTAGTTATACATTATAACGGCGTGTCGCTGACTCGAAATATACTTAAATATACTCAATTCAGAATTTAAAAATATCTGTACCAGATGTTATGTGCACCATTGTTCGGCACTCTGAAAAGAACGGGGAAAAGAATGACACAAAGTAAAAAAAACTTGAGAATCCAACTCATTTTTTACTGTGAAACTTTCACAAGGTCGTCGGATAGTCGCGTTAACACGTTACCTGAATACAGATTTGTTTCCCTTGTTTTACAAGTCACGGCGCCCCGAGTCTTTAAGCGATCATTATTACCATACAAATAGACAGATCTATTTAACAACCCCCCTTTTTTTATCGCATAACACTTATTCTTTAGTGTTGCTCTTTGAAAAGGCACTGAACCGTTTTTTTTTTTTGCAGGGAAATCGTCTCCGGGTTGATAAAGGCAATAGAAGAAGCAAGGCTGACATCTTCTTAAGAGATGATAGGGGAGCCAAATCAAATAGGATGGAGCAGTCACTCCTTTCACAGATAGGTAGCTCATTTCTGGTGGCTGAGAGTTTGCATCCCTAGTGGCGCTCTGCCTGGGAGAGATAGCTCACTCGGACTCCATTCATTATTTCATTCCCTGCCTCCTCTTCTTCTCGTCTTAGCAACTTCTTTCTTTTTTTTTTTTTCTTTTCGCTTTAATGAGTTACCTCGAGTGTTGATGGGTATCTTGGAATTTAGATTTGGAGACAAAATGTTTAATCACAAGCGTTTTTCATTTGTGGAAAAGAGGCAGAAATCAATTATTTCCATTAGACAATGCGGATTGGAAATGAATGGAAGTGGCGGCATTTTGAAACAAAGACTCCATGGTGGCAAAGATAAGTGCCAGTCTTGCCCCCCCCCACCCCTCCTGAGGTACAATATGTGATTTGGCTTAATAAGCAGTTTGCAAACATTGCCATTAAATCCATGCAAAGGGTTTACGGTGCCAATACAAACACAGTGGAGTCACACTGCAAACAACGCAAACGGAAGATGTGTCGTATCTCTCCTGAAATATCTGCATGCCACTTATCAGACATGGTTGTTTCAACTTGAAAACCCGTTACGTTTTGATGCATGTCATTAGTTGCAGAGGTTTCCTCTGCTAAAAAACTCCTGAGTGGAACTTTTCCGCAGCCAGACTTAATCAATCAAGAGAAACCTCAATGTGATATTCAGCCTGGCACTTCCTGAAGAGCACTTTGCTATCGTATCCCTCACATTCTTTGGAAATCCCTTTGAAAAAGTATTTATAAAAATTAACTTCTCTTGCAGCGGGCTCATTGAAAAGAAGAATTACATGAAAGATAAAACACTTTATCTCCAGTGAAAGACGAGACAATGTGCGTCGAGAAATTGGGAAGATGGTAGAAACAATGAATATTAAGTGCCTAAGAATCTAAAGCTGCTGACTAAATTGAAACTGTATATCCTGAGGGGGAAAGGTTTCCAAATTGCTAATTACTGCTTCTGAAAGGGGGGGGATGTTTCTGATATGTTTGCTTGTGAAAGGCTGCCGCTTAATGAAGCAGTGGCTCAAGTTTTCTTTCAGTTTTTTTTATATTCCCTTTCTCCAGCTTTCGGGGCTCTCTCTGGACTTTCCTCCCAGGCCAGAACAATGGTGGGCCCAGGAGCCAGACTTCCCCACAGGCTCCAGCGAGAGGAGGCCGGGGGCTGGGTACTGAGGGAGCCGCTCAGCCCGCCGAAATATGGAGGCGACAGATAAGGTGGCAGCGGCACAGAGAGGCCCTCTCCCACGGGCCCAGGGGGAAATTTGCAGTTATTAAGAGGAAGATGAGAGAGATTAAATGGCTTTTGTACTCATTTTCACAGACTTTTTTTTTTATTTTGTATTATTTGGGCTGCCTTCATCTGAGGGATGAAAAAAGTGGTAAATTACTTTTCTTTTCTTTTGCTTCATTCAGTAACACGCTGGCTTTGGGAGACAATTCAACATTATTGGGAGTTGTCACATACATAAAACATTTTTTAGTGCACAATCGTTTTTGAAAAGTGCAGAGAATATCTCTCCAACTAATCACAAAAGTAACATGTTGGGAGATTTTGTTTGAAGTAATGAACAATATATTACATACATGTTGATTCATCAAGATTTTGTGAGATCTAATCCGTGGATTTCGAACAAAGTTCTTTTATATTACAGGTCTGCAATTTCCTAATAACCTCCCAGAAGTTTTCTGATACTAATTATGTTAAAAATGGACTGGAAGATTATTTTAGAGAGCATAATTGGTAATATTGAGTTCAATTAAATATTTTTGTTAAAACTAACTTTGAACTTTGAAAGAATAGTTTATCTGACAAATATTACAAAAAATATTATCACGTATGAGACGTACACTACAATCATTACAGTTTAGTTGGGGTTCTTTGCGTATAATAATACGCCATGGGTATACATATACATATTATAGTATTTCTCCAACACTAGTTGCAGTTCTGAAAGATGAAATACTACATAAATGCAGATTTGTGTGGCCTGATCCCACCATAGAGATTAAAGTGATATTACACTACAATAATAGGTCAATGCATTTTCTGTTGGACAGACACATTACAGGAAAACTCCATTAATACACACGTTTTGTAACTTATCAGCTCGTTACAAGCCAGAGTGTCACGATGCTGGTCCGGGGTTAAAGTTGAACGTGTAGGTGAAGGACTCCTCGGTCCTTATCCCGCATGAACACCGGCGGTGTGACGTGTTGTCTGGCTGCAGCGTCACAGCGAGTCGGAGGCTCCTGATTGGCTGGACGGCGGGGCGGAAGTGCGTCGCGTATCCCAGCTGGGCAGAAAAACAAAAACAAGGCAAGCTCCAACTGGTGAGTGCTAAAAAACAACAACAAGACACACACACGCGCACACACTGCGGACTCTCTTCCCATTATTCCCCAAAACATACAACACTGTGTTCGGCCTCGCGATGCGTTTCCCGGTCCAACCGTTTTGGGTTTTTTCAACCGTTTGCTAACAGGAGGAAGGTGTGTGTCCGTTCATCCCGTCCTTGTGCACAGCTCGCGCGTTCCATCGCGGTTACGTAACGCGGTCCGCACACAGCACGCGCACCAGCCCGCGTCTGCTCGTCCGGCTGCCGCGTCAACGCGCGTCACGGAGCCGATGTGTTGTTCCGCCGATGCGCGGGTCGACGCTCCGACGCGCGCTTTATTTATCGCCGTCGAAATGGAACAAAGGCAGAGCTTGAAAGTGATGCTCCGCGACGGCACGCCGCCAGACCTAAAGGAGGGAGGACGACCACACCTGGAGATGACGGACAGATGTGTGTCATCTCCAATGGTCAGATTGGATCAGCGCAGAGCTCCTTGTTAGATCTTTCTCTACATCATTTAGACCACTGTAGTAACACGTTGCCATTGGGGGCGAACCCATTTTAATCCAGTTACAGGCAGCTCTCAATAATGGATATGTGTGATGTATGTTGTTGCTAATCCAGAGCACCACATACCTGAAAAATCAAGATATTTTATCAAATAATATCCTGCTGGTGGATGTGCATTTTTACTCACAATAACACAATATTGCAATCAGAGCAGTAATAGTAGGGCAGCATTTCTGACAATAGACAATCTTATGGAACATATTGTCACATCCCTGTCTGACAGATATTATTTTAACTCCTTGCATTATATCATCCAAATGTTAATAATCAAGGTCATAAGGTCGGTCATGTCACCATTAGGTTTCTAAATGTACTTGTCTGGGCTTGGAGTTTTACTAGTTCCCATCTGAACATTGTTCTCAGCAACACTGCCACAACCACAAAGCTTTTATGAAGGGAAATTCGCTGCCTTCAAAGTCTTGAATAAGAAGACATTGCTATTCACCTCGTACTTAAAGAGACAGTTTTGTCGTGATGATACAATGTTGGTCATCTTTGCTGCGTCATGGAGCCGTTCAGAATTGGCTTAAGCTGTCCGATAAATTCATTCATTTATTTACCCGTTGTACTGTGGATCTTTGGTTTCCAGCACCATGATGGATGAGCTCGTGCAGGACCTGGTGTCTGCTCTGGAGCAGACCTCAGAGAAAAAACAGCTGGGGGATCTGTGGGAGGAAATGGTCCTGAGTCCGCTGCACCGGCGCCGGCAGATCCGCCGCCGCAGAGGCCGCAAGCGCTACCGCGAACCTTCCCTCTACCCGCTGCAGCACAGACGATGCTGGATCGAAGCCTCCGAGTCCAGTTTGGACGAGACCAAAGGATACAGGGAGAACTCGTCCTCGGCGATCGCCACCGCCGCCGCCGTGGCCAACTCGGACTCGGACGACGTGACTTCGACCAGCCGATGGCGCTCCGTGGCGAGAGGCCCCGTCAGGACTAGGCAGCCCTCCTGGCCAGAGTCCGACTCGTTCACAGAGAATAACGCGGGGCGTCACCTCAGGAGGCGGAGGAAGGTCAAACGCATGAGCTCAGACATCGCGGTGAGGCTGCAGCAGAAGTTAAAGGTCTCCGGCGTGGACAGGAAACGCAGACACAGGCCGTCTCGAATGCAGCATCTCCCGGGACCGAAGAACAGGTCCGCCGGCCTCGTGGGAGCCGACCGGCCGGCAGAAGGAGCCCGGATGATGGGAAAGGAGTGCTGGAAGAGAAGGGTGGTCAAGGACCACAGAGATGCTGCTGATGAAAACATGTCCGAGGGGTAATGTTCATTTCAAGGAAGACAAATGTGTTTTCTTCCTCTTTATTTTCATGTTGGTGTTTATCTCAACACAGTTAGCCTCTATTTGGAATAACATGAAAAGCTGAGGTTCGTAATTAGCAGGAAAAAGTTTTACATTTAATTTATAACATTGCAACCAGTCAAACGTTAACACTGCCGTTGTTTAAAAAGTCAGGATTAAAACCATACTGAAAAAGGAGCTAAAAACTCTAAAAGCCCTTTTTACCCTTTAAATGGAAAGTTACCACGGCAGTTAAACCCATAACATAAAAGTCACGGGCATAACTACTATCAGACAGGAGCAATTAAACAAGGCGACATTTAAGATGATCTATACCGCCTGTCTTCATCGAGCCACTTGTCAATATTCAGCGTGTCCTCAACTAAACCAAGGAAAAAAAAGGAGCACAATCATACCACTCCACTTTGAAGTATTGAATGGACATTAAAAATGAATGATAGAGTTCATCTCCTGTAGCTGAAATGATCACCAAGGATGGATCTTTGATAGTTATGCCTCTGGGCATCCACAAGCTCATTATTTCCTTTTGAGAAATATCGTCACAAATAAATACGTGACTTGGTGTGGTATTGATTTGTTAGAATTCCTTTCTTGGGCTGGGTAATTACAGCTTGTCCTAGCCCAATGTCCCACAGTGTACCCTATTCCGTGCATTGTATTTGTAAATGTCGCTGTAACTGGCATCCGAGAGTGGCATTATATTTTAACTATGAGGCAGAGATCGCCGGATACTGTGGAATCAAAAAGGCCAAATTTCAAGTTTTTGTTCCAAAAACATGTCAGTGAGGCCGGAGCCGGGGAGGAGGACAAGGACGCAGAGAGGTTTGACTGATGGAGATTTATTCCAATAATTCCAATATCTAATAATACCATATACAAACTAACACTAACGCGGGTGTGGACATGCACGACTACAAGACACACTGGCACAGGACAAAGGGAGACGCAGACAATAAGTATCCATGAGGGAGGTGAGGGAACAGGTGGAGACAATTAGGAATCAGGGGAGACAATCGACAGGAGACACCTGAGGAAGGGCAAGGCACCTGAAACGAGAGGGGGTTTAGACGCCACAATAAAACAGGAAGCATCAAAATCAGACGTAAGACGGGACACAAACACAACTTCACCAACATGTATGACAAAACACTGACAATAATATTAAGCAAACACACATTTAATCCGCTGAAATAAGGCAAATGATTGCCATTTGTGCAAAAATGACTATTATCGGTTTATTAATTATTTTTTTCCATTATTTATCATTATAATTTCTAGGATGTTTGCATAGTAAAACCGTTTACTTTTGAGGCTGAAGTATAATTGGTGTATTTGCACACTCATGCTATGGTTCACACGCGTAACCAACTAACAGATGGAAAAGGGCAGTATAGTTCTTATACTTATACAACATTCAGTGAATGAGTCCTTAAATCTTTGGATCTTCCATTCTCAATGTATTGTCCTGCTGCTGCACAATTTATTTTGCTTGCTGATCTCATTATCTGATCATATAAAACATGGAATAAGGAGACATTTGAGGTAACCGGTAATGGGACGGACAAGAAGGCTTTAGATCAACTGGTTTAATTTGCGTTGACCTCGCTAGCCCCTAAACGGTACTTGTTTTCTTTACTTTATGGAAAAATCAATAGCCGTTCTGACAGAAAACAGCTCCGAAGAAGAAATAAATGGGAACACCGGAGCACGCTGTCAATCATTTCTCACTTACACGACGCCAACACTCTTGATTGCTGCTCAGTGGACTGCCACCCTGTGCTGAGGGCTCAACAATCTAATGGATAAGCTGTAGCGGAGGGAAAGGACACGAACAAAAGGCCACCGCGATGAGGAGATGACAACAGCACAGCGCGTGTACGGTTCATTTAATGTCAGACTCAGACGCCACGGCTAAAATGTCTTTTAAAGCAGTCAGACTCCTTTTAGTCTTATTTTATTACATTAACTCGTTTTTCCCGTGGAGCGTCTGCCCTTTTTAAAAAAAAACATGCTTCTCCTCAAGGTCACTTTCTGGTGTGTGCACACAGAGGTGAGCTTTGCCTTCAGCCACCCAAGTTCAAGGGGAGCAGATGTTGGCAGCTCCAGTTGGGCTCCACATCCTTGATTGGACCCGGCCCGGGCCTGCTGGCAGCGAGGCCACCTGGCGTCCAGGCTGCCCCGGCGAGCGGGCCTCACCTGAGTCCAGCGTGGACGCCGTCCACGTCTCCAGCTGTGTGCTGCTACCGCTACTAGCGGGATAAAAAAAAGAAAAAAAAACCCAAGCCGTTGTGCGTGCCTTTCTCACACTCGGGCGTATTCGTTCTGTAATTTGTATTTTCGAAAAACTCTTATGGGGAATTTTTTGGGAGAGCAGTGCAGCGTTTGCCCGAAGTTAATTTCATAAATCTCTGAGACTAATCCAATTACTGCAGCTCGGGGATGGTGGGATAACCTTATAATCAGACACCCATGGAAGAGGGCATGGATTTGGGTTGGGGTGGTTTGTTTGAAGAGCCCGCAGATCCATTGTTATCAGCGACCCCCCCCACTACCCCCCTCCTGTCCTCCGCAGAATGAGCCCGGGCTCAATAAATGGCGGCTAGCCTGTAATCTCTGTGCAAACTGGTCTGCCTCTCCCAGGAGCTGAGGATTATATACTAATGATTAGTGCTCATCTGGATACTGTGTTTTGCTTCACCTCCTTGGCTTGGATTGAAACAATGGGGCCACGTGGGGGACTTAAGTTCACCACTGAAACACTGGAGGGCAGATTTTGTTTTTGCCCTTGCCGTCGTTTCACCATGGACATATGCTATTTTATGTAATTAAGCCTTAATTGTTTTTATGGAACCTAAGCCAAAGTAGAATATCTTGCGACTGGGATAAGTCCTGTTTTGTGAGACCAAGTCTGCAAAGTGTTTGTCAACTTTTCTTGGCAAAGGTCACTGCTGAAGAAAGAATAGGTGTTTCTTTTGGTCCTAAGAAAAATGGGCTGCTCCATTATTCATGCCACTAATTAGGCAGTACTTAATGAAAACGGTCTCACATCGGCCCTGTGCTGCTTCAAGCACATTACACCTTTAATACGGATAAATACTTAATGGGTGTCTCTAATTAATTGTTTATACCTGCGATTCTTTTCATGCGAAATCCCTCCAAAAAGAAGCGGACACTTTTTTTTACGTTGTAAGTGGAAGAAGCTGCTGGAAATTGTTCACCACCGCTGGTTCCTAATCCCTACGAAGGGTTGTAGGACGAAGCATAAAATTGCTGTTTGTGGCTCCAGATGCCAATGTGTCCAGAGGTGGGTTACGGCTGAGCCGAGGGGGATCAGTCCGGAGAAGGGGCCGACGGGGCCAATGGGGCGGGTTCTAGGGTGGAGGGACGGTCCAGGCCTGCTCGACGAGGCCAGACATCCTCCAGAGGCCCGCTGCCTCTCACATCTGCTTTCTTGTGGATGCGAGCGGAGATGATGCAGGACCATCTGGCCAGGGAGCCACGCAGGCCGGGTGGACGTTTTTTTTTTCTCCTCCAGATCCTCCCGTCACTTCGAGGCTTCTGCAATATGGCAAAGCGCCGTATCAGCGCTGATCTGACCCTCCAGCTTTCTCCAATGAGCAAGGTCAGCAATGACAAACATGCATGGAAATGCAATGCAGTCAAGAGCACAAGTTCCCTCTCTTTCACAGCCGAACGGTCCAAAAAAATAACAAAACCTAAGAAGGTCATGTCATAAATATATGAAAGGACTGTAGTTGAACCTTAGCCGGCTGAAATGTTATGTTGTTTTAGCGACTGGACACATTGAAATAGTTTAGTAAAGTTTGTTGGTGAATAATCTCTTCGGACCCATACGTTTTAGAAAGCAGTGATGGTATCAGGATGATTCCTGATTTAATATTTATGGTAAAATTGGGTGCTTGACAAATCAACATCAACTGAGTTCCAAGTCAGCAACGACTGGATTTGTCAGAGAGAAGAAATGCTTTTTTTTGTCCCTCCCATCTGTGTCAATTCTACCCCTCCCCTGATCCCCCTCCATGACCTTGGAGTGTCTGGAGGTCTCAGTTGAAGGTGGCTGAGGTGTGAGAAAGGCAGAGGAACCCGGGGTGGTCTGGGGCGGCAGAGGGGGCTCGAAGGGTGTGGAGGCATTGCAACAGGGGTTTGCCCCGAGGGTGTGCGGAGGAGCGGCGCCGGAGCGGCCCCGGCAGTAGGCAGCGGCAGCGGCAGCCCTGCACAGCAGATGTTGGCCAGTTGTTGTGTGGAAGCTGCCGGTCTTGTGTGTCGCTCTGTGCGCGGGGCACACCCGGAGGGGCGGGGGGGTGTAGGGGGGGATGTGTTTCGTTCTCCTGTCATCCTCCACAACGCAGGCCAGATTAGATTGGAGCTGACAGCGGAGGATATTCAATTAGATTGTGCATGTCACTCAGTGGCTTCGATCAGAGCCTCTCCTCGTGCCTTTGTGTTTGCTATCGCAACAAGGGAGAACGCTGCGCAGTCCGTCTTCCGGTGTCATTTCCATTTATGTCGACCTCTAGCTTCGCATTTCTCCATTATTCTGGGTTATTCAATGCTACGCGTTCCATTTTGACATTAAAGGGGCCGTGCACGTTTTTGATTGACACTGTTCACTTTTCGGACGCTTTGGTGTTGCTTGACCCGAGCAGCCCGTCGGGTTCGAAATGACAATTCAAAGCCTTGTGCCTCGTCCTCGAACATCGTTGACATTAAACAGACGGGTCAACCGACGACCGTTGGCGTGTGACGTTGTTCTTCTCTTCTTTGCAGGGAAACCAGCAGCACGTGCAGCAGTGACCCCGGTCTGTTCACCAACGACGAGGGAAGACAAGGTATTACAACATCAACACGGTTTGCATACCTTGAGAACTATCGCACAGCTTCAACGCTTATTGCAGTTCAATTTAGTAAGTAAAAAACACTGGATCTAATTCTGTGTATTCAGAGTTAACAAACCAAGTGTTGATGACTCGTCCGACTCCGAGGGAATTCTGGGCTGAGAGAGGGAGGTTTCCATACAACGGGCTGGTTGCTGGGCACCCAGGCGACTCTAATAAGACGTTGTCATGTCGTGTTAATGAGCGCTGAAGCCTTTGCTAATCTCATTAGCCGCGGTGGGGACAGGCGGCCTCTGATTTAACAGTTGTCACTACACCTTGACTGTGAGAGGCATGGATCCAGCGTTGGTCTGTGCCTGACTGACAGGCGTGAGAAGAGCTCGCCGTCTGGGGACGAGACTGCCGATGTCTGGTTGGTGCGTAATTAAAGGAGCAGTTTACCCTGAAAAGAGACAACCGCTCAAGCTACCCTTCAGTTTGCTAGGACCACCGGACACACGGTTACTTTGCTTCTCCCGAATGAAACGTTTAAAATAAGCCTGATTTTTGTTGTTTCCACGATCGTCTAAAAAAAAAAACGGTCCTCTGGGTCAAAGCGCACATTCAACGAAGCCCTTGATGGACAAAGAGATTCCACAGCGCTGGTGCTTCACCCATGCGTGATCGCACACGGCAGCCGGATGCTAACGGGCGCAACGTCCTGTCCCTGTGTGCAGGCGATGACGAGCAAAGCGACTGGTTCTTCGAGGGCGACTGTGGCGTGGGGAAGGCTGTGGCCGGCCTGCTGCCCAGCTGGGAGTCGGACAACCAGCTTCCCCTCGAGGACAACCGGCCCTCGCCTACCTTCTTGCAACCAGCACGGCCCTCTCAGAGAGGTGGTGGACACAGATTCTCACCAGCATTAATGTCTTTTTAGACCCTTTTGCAACACGGGAAGATGAACATGCTGTTGGCTGTTGCAGGGTATCGGTGTCATTCCCCTCGAAGGCCGGGCTCTGCCGCCTGCTGCGTCAGGAAGGACAGGAGGCGGCTCCCCAGCAAGGTTAACGTCTTCCTCTTTACACATATCCTACTTATCGCCATGGTTTTATTTACGGTGTATCTCTTGCTTTGTGTTTTGCAGGGCAGCGGCGTGTTTGTAGAGAGACTGCGGCACTTCTCGCAAGATCCTTACCAGAGAGAGTAAGATATACTGGTCAAAACTCCTACATTGTGGTATAACTGGTGTTATTCTGCCCCCAGTGATTTTACTTACATTATCTCCTTTTAGTTTTTGGCTGCCTTCTGTCGGAAAAAGAGACCGAAGCCAGGTGTGTTGCAATAGAAGCGATTTCTGTCTTTTTGTTTCCGCTTTGACATTTTCAAACGGTGAAAATGCAAAACGTCTAAATGTTATTGGTACTTTCACTTTTCAGTTGAGCCCTTTGTGCCCATTACCAGTGTGTCCTCTTGACGTGATGCCAGAGAGCTCCCATCTCCGATGTTCCACCTCAAACTGCAGAAACAGGTAATTGATGCCTTGTGTTGAATATTGCAGCCTTTCAAGGGCCTGTTGGGGACACCAGGCCATGTTTTTGATCAACGCTCAATATATTGATTGGAGAAGTATATGGTCATTTGATTTAAACAAATCTGTTGCGGGGCATAGGTCGCTGTTAACTAATGTGATCTTTGTTAAGACGATGCCTCAGAGACTCGGTGAATTTATAGGAGTTAATTAACTGCTGCATAAATTAGAGAATTCAAGGCATGTTCAATGTGGCAGTACACCATGGGAGGATTTAATCTGATGCGTATTCTTTGTTGTTGTAAACAATGTATAACACACGTCTTTCCATGTTGTGCTGCACGTCTATCCTCAGCATTTAGTTGTCTTTGGCTTTACGTCCCAACTACTAAATCTTTCCTTTGTTATGGTGTCAAAATGCAGAAGTTCTAATAAAGCTTTTTGGTTACATTAAATTAGGTAGTACACTATGCTTATGTGCAATGCATGTACAAATACACTTTTCCTTTTGTTTGCCAAAAGTCATTTACAGACAGAGAAATGTTATCGTATGCCCTCCTGTGGATGTGACTCATGTGTGAGGTCAGTAGGCCCAAACGGAACATTTCTGTCGATCTCGGGACAAAGTCTGAGCTCAGCTGACAACAAGCCGGTGCAGCAATACTTCATTTCAACAGTATTCAAGGTCAGCGTTTCCAAAGAGAGAAATGCTATGTGTTGACATAGTTGTAATGCAGATTCAAATCCTGCATTAATGGGACCAGGCGAAAACATAAATAAAAATAAAATAACGGTTTATCCAAAAGATCTTTGTCAAAGCATCGCAGCGCTCCCAGTCATCCCTGGAACCGTTGGATCTGCATGGGGGACAGTGGGGAAGCCGCACAGCCCCCTCGGCCTCCAGTCCGTGGGACTCCTCATTGTATTGTTTCCACTCTTCCTATTTATGGTGCATTCTTAATTTTGTTTCACACACACACACACACACACACACACACACACACACTCTCTTGGGTTATTTCACAGAGCGCCCCGGCACTCCTTGATGAGGGGCAAAAACACGACTGCTATGAAAAGCCCCCGACTTCTTAGGGCTTTCTTTTCTAAACTGGCCCTTTCTTCTCCACCTGAAAGGTTCCTTCAGATTCCAGTTTGAGGCATTGTGAATACTAATTTCTCTCTATTAAAAAGCCCTCATATCCCTGCCATGCTCTCATTTGAATGGCGGACTCAGGGGAGACCTCTTAATTCCTTTATAGAGGGATTCAAGACCCTTCACTTCAAAAAGTATAAATCATACTCCCAAATGAATGAGGGAGGGAGGGAGGGGGACGAGAGGGGCTTCTGATGTGTCCCGTTGGACTGAATCTCCCCCCCCCCCCTCTCCCCCGAGCTGCTCAAATCCACTCTCCGCCGAGACGGTCGTCCTTACGGCCCAGCTCGGCGCACGCGGGCACCCATTGACTCCCTTCAACTTCCTCCCACAGCACACGTGCACGTGCGAGCGCGCGGCGTCAAGTTGCAGTTATTGTTTCTGCATGACAACGAGCGATGGCCATTGTTGCTCCTGCATGCTCCGAGACAAACTGGAAAAAAGGGCCAGTCCTCGTATCACTTTACTATATTTTCATTTCTTTCGAGCGCCTTACGGGAATGATCGATTTATAGCGCAGCGCTGCCCCCCTCCACCCCCTCCAACCCCTCCACCCCCTCCACCCCCCCGCTCCCTACATCTGACTTTTCTTTGTATCCAAACACCCTTGAGAGAAAAGTGTTTTTCCTCCTGTGGAGAAGAGTGCAGCATTAATCTTGTACTGCGGCCCGGTTGAGATGATACTGTATTAATAAAAGGTGCCACCTTCTGTTTGCAGCGAGTTGACGGCGACAATCAGAGATTTGATGCTGAGCGATAAAGGCGGCGTGTGTGCGGCCGCGCGCCGTTTATCCCCGTATCAGCGCGTGAATAGCTGCGGCCGCTTTGTGGGATTTGGCTGTAATGCCGGAGGCCGGCGGCGGCGTTAAGATGCACAAACCGCCTCCCAGCTGAGCCGGGCAGCAGCAGCAGCTTTTATCTATTGACTTATTTATTTCTAAATGACACTTGTGCTGCGGGATAAATCATAGTCCTTCACCACTCCCTTCCCAGTTTTCATTTTAATTGTGAGATCTCGGTGTCAGCGGTTAGTATATTGGTGTGAGTGGCCTATTGATTATTGATTTGGAGCTATTGATTATGTTCCCAGGAGACCCTAATCCTTTCTGATTCATTTGAATACCTCTATTAATCTTGAGATCCTACTCACAACCGAAGCACCGTGTACCCTAATGAAAATAGATGGGCCATTTCGTAACCGCGGCTCCTCACCCCTCTTTTGATTTATTCTTTTTAATTGATGTATTTGCTTTTGGATGTGGGCTCCAAAATTACAATTGACCCCGTGTCAGTGCTGTTTTATTCTGTACCCTAAGGGACCGCACCGCATTTAAAAGTGTCTCAGATGACCTGAGAAATCCATCTCAGATACTTTTTACTCGGTGTCCTTGTGTCTTTGTTGGCAGTTTTCATTACACATTACTTGTTTGTTTTTTTCATTGCTCACTGACTCTGAGTCAAGCTTTGTTTTCTCATCACAGATTCTGTATATTTAGGACCAAAACAACTGGCTAACATCTGTCACGCCGTTTAAACTGATGAAGTAACAGATGTTAAGTAATAAAAAAAAAACAGTGTTCTGCGTTTATTTATTTTTTTACCTACTTCTCTCATTTTTACACCGAGCCATTAAAAGCCTTCGGGTTCTGCTCTGAGATGAATGGTGGTGTTTTGCGTCGGTTAATGAGCCAGCTGATGGTATTCTCATGTTTGATTAGCATTGTGCCGGGCGTCTCGGCGGGCTCCCGCCGGTCCCCCCGAGCGACTGTGCCTCCCCACTCTGGGCAACAGGGGAGGGCCCCTCGCCTCCCTGCGCGGGGCCGACGGGGGCCCTCGGGTGCCTCGGCCTCGGCGTAGTGAGGGAAGAGATTGAAGGGATGGACCTCCGCACATTAAGACCAGACGCACCGGGGTATTACTTTTAATACCGCGGGCGTGCTTGGTGAAATAACGCTGCGTTGTTAAACGGGGGATCGATTTTGGAATTAAAAAGTTAGTTTGCAAAGATTTATCGTGGGGAGTTCAATGCCTGAGCTCTTTATCAGCAGCGCAAATGGCTGGTTATGTGCTGTCCGACAGAGGCGCGATTGAGGGATCGATAGGCGCGTGATTTACTAACTGGAGTACAGGTAATCAATAAGTATAAAAGTAAATGAAATATGCATTACTGGGATTTTATTAGAGAGAGGTAGCAGCGAGAGAATAACGGTCAAGCCATTTATTTTTATATCTATTGATTATACAACATAGAGACTTCGCTCAAAGCACGCGGCGCACCGCTCTCGACACCCCGCCACTGCGTACCCGTCATGTGATTTATGTGTCGAGGTCATGGAACAGGCTGCCTGTTAAAAGGCTGCCCTGGCGGGGCCTTATTGTAGCACGTGCCTGTTGGGCCAGTGGGCTTCATGCAGCCTGCAGTGCAACAAGAGCCGCGCGCCGCTTTAACAAGGAGCCCTCTTCAGCCCGAACCTTATTTAGCAATCCGTCAGTTACAATTCATGCTTATTTTTTCTTTTATTGTTGATTAAATCCTGTCTGAGACGCAGTCTGTGTTTGTAAAACACACGAAAGTCTAGTTTTGTGTCCTGTGGGAGCACTAACTGTATTTTCTCTCTTGCACTCAATCCGTCCCCCTCCTCTTTGGCACAAACATACACAGCGCCTCCCTCCCCCCCCCCCCCCCCCTACAACCCTAAACCTAGGGAGGGTTGGAGACGTTCTTTTACCAATTATTTAAGACTATGAAGCCGGGTCTATTAAGCTTGTGGGGGGCGGAGGGTGAGGGGTTGGGGAGGGGGGGGGCGCTTTTCCTATTTCAGAGCTCCTGACATATGACACAGGGGCCGTAGAGCAGGTGTAATTTGTTTATGTGAACTCTGCAGTGACTCACCACCGCTCCTCAGCGGATGTCCTCCACGGCGAAAAATACGCGCTAACGAAGAAAAATTAAGATATTCACCGTACTGAGACTGCGTTTGCAAATATGCCTCGCTGGCTTTTATTGACTTTTTGTGAAATGTATTAGATTTCTACGTGTTTAGGTGTGTATTGCGTATTGCTGCATCATCAAACTGTGAGTAAGGTTTGCTCTCTCTGTCTGTGTCCCCCCCCCTCTCCAGGCAGACTAATGTCTCCCGTGCCTATCAGCCCTGCAGTGACATCAGGAGGAGGAGGACAACGGAAGCTGTGTCCGTCACAACATCAGGTATCGCCCTCCACACACACCGATGAAGCCCCATGAACAACTTTCAAACTCGTTATCTACCGGTACAAATAAAGATCAAACTGCAATGGCTTGTGACGACGTGCGAGGCAGCCAGCAAACCAACTATCAAGCAAGAATGCAAAAAGACACGATCATCAATCAAGGAAACTCATACAGTAAAATAAAAGAGGCAAAAGACATTTGCCTGCCTTACTCTAGCAGTTCAATACCCTATAAAAAAGACTTTTTATTAAGATGCAACGCGTTTATATCCGTTGCAATGGGGGTGTATTTAGTTCTCCAGAGAGCCTGTATCTGACTCCTTTAAGTCGATCACCACGAGATTCGGCCATCGTGCCCAGAGGATGAGTCTTAATGACTTTGGTGATGAAAGTGTTTCCATTGAATACAGACTTTCATGCCACCCCCCCCTAAAGATATACTTCAGTTCTGGTGGTTACGATTAAACCACCAGCGGGGGTCAAACCATTCATTAGCACACTCAACACTAACGACATGCAATGCATTAACAATGCTTTATTAACGTTATTGGCAAAAATGAGATTCTCGCTGCGGTGATAATAACTGCTGATTAAGTAATGTTGGGCAGCAGAAAGATTTGGCTATTAGTGAGTATGAAAATTAAATAATTGATGTTAGTGAAAGTACTATTCCAGATTCAGAGTGAACGGTGAAGGTTTGATCCATTGCGCTTTACCAACCAGCTCTCCTCCCCACATATGCACAAAGACTTGGCAGTGGAAAAGGAGAGAGGAAAGAGAGGAAAGAGAGTAAAGAGAGAGAGAGGGGGAGCAAGATGGCGGACACAGTTGTTACTTCCTGCCAAACTTAAAAATGGCTCCGTGGCCCAAGATTATTTAACGTGCCAATAGTTTCTCCTTCAGGATCCACACAAAAATGTTGATCGACCAACGAATTAGGACTATTAGCTTGGGTGGTTCTTTAAGTCACCAATGAGTCACCAACGAGTCACCAGTGTGCGAGTCGTCACAACTTTACAAGCTAGGATTTCAAAATAAAACGCAGGCCTCTCGCTTTTGTTTTATCCACACGGTAAAGTCCCAACAAGGGATAAAAGGGAACAGGTAACAGGTAGACTTGGTAGCTGTAGCTTCCTGTTTGAAGCAGAAGAAGAGAAGTGTGATGTGCAGTTGGCACAGAGCAGCAGGCTTTGTGTCTTTTTGGACCAGCGGAGCTGCCTTTTGTCATTAGAGTCATGGCTCGGGGGCCCGGTGTCTTTGCCGGATTGAAATCTGAATTGGTTTGTCCACCTTTTTCTTCTGCGGCCCTTCTCCCCTGCTCGACTCCTGCAGCCGCCGTTTGTCATTTGAATAAAAAATGCCGGTGGTTTCCTGATTTAGTGAGGGGTGCAGGCCCCTGATTTATATTAATATTCTCGCAGAGCGCACTGTCCCGGGATCCATCATTCATTTGGATAAAAGAGGTGGAATTTTAAAACAGCCAATGCTTTACTTGAATACATATGGCATCCATTTACTGCACTGAGTGATGGAATGGAGGGCAATTCTGTCCTTCACCTGCCCAGCGCTGAGCCACTTCCCATAAAAGTAAAAAAAGGATTCACCCCTGGCCTGTGAGGAACGCCGGGCATACGTCAACTCCTCCACAGTTAACGGACCCACAATCTATTGTAGGCGTGGGAAAAAGATCAGTTATAATCTCCAAAAAAAGGAAAAAAAGGGAATCGTGTTATTAGTCGCCGACGCATCATGTTATTCAAATGTGCATTTTTTAAAATGGAAAATTGCTCTTAGATATTTCCCTGTGTGTTTTGGATAAAGTGACTAAAAGGTGATCCGTGATCCTTTAGTTTTACAGGAGAGTCTCTGATTGGCACAGCCCCCGCCACCCTCCCACACCTCGGTGTTTTCCTGCTTCTTGAGTCTAGTGCCCCCTGTCCACCGTGATTTATCACGCATCCCGGGTCGCCCCAATGTCAGTTTCTGCAGCTGCAACCGCTCTGTATAAATCTTTACTTTGTCAGCCGGGCCGCGCCGCGTCTCTCCTCGGTAATCCCGCCAGCGCCACGAGATGCACATTCGCCGTGACAAGCTTTCACACACTCTCTCTCTCTCTCTCTCTCTCTCTCTCTGCGCGCACATTTTGGTTTGTGACATTAATGTGTTTCGGAGACTAAATCCAATTTAGTGATTTGTTGAAGGGAGTTGTTTTCAGGTTAACATCTTGTTTGCATGGAAGGATTGTTTACTGCATTTAGGAGAGAGGAGAACGGCGCGTCGCTCTCAGTGAACGCGACAGCCGCGTCTTTGGTTTGAGGCAGCCGGAGGAAGCGGATTGTTGTCCGTGTTAGTGGTTGATTTGAAACTCTGTAATCAGGAGTGAAAATGGTCTGTGGCCGGAGGTGTCTTCCAGGTCTCCGTGGGGAATTACTGAGGCGGTACCCAGCTGTTGCTTTGTCTTCTTTCTTTACCCTTTTAGCACTGCAGTGGAAGTGCAGGAGCAGGTTGCGAAAAAAAAAAGAATGAAAAAAAATACCCAAACAACTTATCAAGCCGGGTATCTGTTTGGATTAGACCACCACTCCATTTCTCAGCCGTAAATTGGCCATTTTCTACTTTTCTCACCACCATCCGTTCGACAATCACACTCAATATAACAAGTCCGCACTAGAAAGAGAACAAAGCAGCCCAGTTTTCTGTTGTGTGTATGTGGTTATAATAAAAATGCAGATCGAAATAGTCACTCAAATTTGAATTATTTCAACGTGATCTCCAAAACCTGTTCGTAAAAATGTATATACGAAAATCTTGAACATACAAATTCGTAACAATACATACGAGCTGGTGGTGGTTAACCACGCCCCTTGAGTGAACAACATGGCGGACCATGTCGGATTCTTGAGTGAACGTCTCTCCGCCATGTTGGATTTTTTGAGGGGGTTAGGGTTAGTATTCTATTCTTACAATTTAACATTGATTTCTCGTTAAAAATGCAATCATAACACGTTTATTTTACATCGACTTCACAAAGTGTGTTTACGGGGTGCAGGTCCTCATTCACTTTGAATAGGTTGACGTCATCAGTTGCAGTCCGTATTTTTTTAGTATGTATCACTACGAATTTGTATCTTTAAGATTTTCGTATAAATTTTTACGAACAGGTTTTGGAGATCAGGCTGATTATTTAGGCTTTTAAACACTCTGCAGATTTTTGAGTATTATTCGTGGCAATCAGTGCATGTGAAGATCCTGAAGCATTTTAACAGCCTTGGCTGGTGTCACACAGACTCATTCATTACTGCAACTTTACTCCTCCTCCCCTGCTGTCTCCAACCGTATAATCGCCTTCATATTTATCTCCACAAAGGGATGATGGTAATAAAACCAAACCTGATTCCGGGCTGTGAAGTTAGTTCGATTAAACCTCGTCGGACTGATCGTGGCGCGCTGTCTGTGTGCGTTGAGAAGTGCCACACGCGTGTTCCCTGGCGGAGGCCTTCCTCCCCTCCCCCCCCCACCCCGGTCAGCCGGGCCGCCTCTCCTCTCTCCCCTCCGTCTCCAACGCGTCTCTCCTTGCCGGAGCAAGACGGCTGCTTGACAGATCACCCGCGTCCGAGGCCCGGCCGTGTTCCTGCCCGGCGGTCCGGCCCCCCTCTCATTAATGCCCAGGCTGGTTTGCGAAGGGGGGGGCCGCGTGGCAGCACAAGACAAATAACGCCACCGCTCAGCCATCACTTCTGCTGACAGAAATGCAGCCCGGCGCACTATTTCGCCCTCTCCGGCTCCACTCCGCGCCCTGCTCGCGTCCTTCAAAAAAACAACCCCGTCTCCGTCTCCCACCTGCACCTGCGACCGCTTCAACCAAACTTTCGCGCCCTTTTTTTTTCTTTTTTTTCGCCGTCGCTGGAGGCCGAGCTTAACGCTCAGACCCACACGAGTAGCCTCGAACCCGCGGCCTTTTCTGAACCACTGCTGTTTTTTCGTTTGATGAGACGGCCTTTCACAGGCTTCTTTACTTTGCCACTTTGCAAAGTGTGCAAACCTTTTTCACAGAGAGGTCTGATTTGAATGTCTGATTTTTTTCTATTTTGAAAGGAATGGTGCCCGTGTGTGCGTGTGTGCGTGTGTGTGTGTGCACGTGCGTGGGAGATAAGGAGTGAGTGAGCAGGAGCGAGAAACAGAAAGGCTAATCATTAACGAGCTATTCAGCCCTGTTCATTTAAGTGTGGGAATCAGCAGGTCCATTACTGTCAATGTGTAATTAGCTGATTAATAAACACCGGGAAGGGGAGTGCTCCAAGAAGCTCTGTAATGATTGTTTTTAGAGAGCATCACATGAGAGCTTATTAACATGGCGAGATGCTTCCATTCAACGTCCCTTTATCGCCCACAATAAATGCATGTAGTGTAATTCTCCCGTTGACAGAAAACCATTGCGTTGTAATGTTCTTATCGACCTTGTTGGGTGTAAATCTAGCTGTTCTGGACAAATTAAAATATCGTTTATTGTGAATGTTCATTATTCACATTGTGCATTTTCAAAATAGTTACTGTACTTCAGTACAGTTTTGATTTACTTTTCAAACTACATTGTTTTGCTACTTTATACCTTTATATCTCTACATGTACACTACAGTTTTTATTGTGTGACTCCCTATATATCCACTATTATCTTTAGTAGTTACTACCACTCCTATTATGCAGGAGAGAAATGTGAAAGATCACTTTTTTTCTCATATCCCACGATTCATCTCACAACCCTCCAGATTCATCATTGACACTATTTCTACCTGCTGTAGATTTTTGGTGTTAAATATTTAGCTTTTCAAACTGCCGCTCTCTTTATCACAATGTTAAAATGTGTAAAAAAAAGGTTATCCGGACTGTGACCTTGACCCAGGGTAGAGGCTTTCTGTGCATGTTAACACGCTCACGAGCTACATGTTCCCAGAAACTATCGTGTTTCTGTCAAACGCGAAAAACTCCTGAAATTCTGATCCAAGCCTTTTGACCGTGTTTACCCCGAGTGTTTGGGCTGAAACTCGGCAACGGTTAGTCATCGTTCCCTCAAGAAATATTAATCAATTATCTTGCCCGCTGGATCAGTTCGGGGGAGAAGTCATCTGGAAAGAGGCACGAGCAGATATAATGGGAAGGAGCAAAAGCACATGCCAGTGAATGCTGTAATGCCTAATCCTCTGAGACAGCCCAGAGCCACAATGTCACTTCCAGTTCCCTTGTCCTCCGCTCCGGGACTCCATCGCCAACGTGATGTGTGACCGCCGCTTAACTTTTTTCGGGGAAATCTATATAAGATGTATTTGTCCAGCAGGTTAAGGGGTGTGGGGGGGGGGGGCGGCAATTGTTTAAAAGTTCCTCTGTCTTTGGTTCCCTTTTCCTTCCCAGAGAGAAAAAGCCTTTTAAGGTAAGAAAGAGGGTCTTTTTAATTAGCCAGTCAGTAAAATGAGAACGTGTGATGAATGAAGTTAAAAAACATACAGCTTCTTACACTGGCTAGCCAAAAAGGGGAGGGGGGGGGGGTTAAGCCATAGAAGCAGCACAGATTGGCCTTTTAATAACCATGTCCACAAGTCATATGGGCCCAAATTGGATTTGGCTCACTTGACCCAAACCTCCATTAATATTTAACCTATTTGAAGAGGATGCTTCAAAGTTGTATTTTAATGTACCTAAAAACGCGAGCGAGCGATCCATGAGTCACGGACCAAATTACATTTTTATTTGAGACGCTGTCCATTGAAACAGTTCAGAAAGTGTGAGTATCTCACAGTGTTTGCTGCATCTACAGCGTTGTCTCTTTTCTCCGCAGCCAGCAGCACGTTGCACAAGGATCACCCGGAGAGGAGAGGCTCATGGAGGCAGTAACACCTCAACCCCCGAGGCTCCGGGACCAAGTGCACCAGGTTCACTGAGTTTATCTTTCCTCCAGAGGGACCACCAGGAACCTGAATAGGGCCGGACGAGAACACCTAAGTGACGAAGGGAGAAAGCTATTGTGCCAGAGAATTTAAAAGGCCAAAACGCCTCTCGCTGCACAAACTTTATAACAACCCGCCCCTCCACAAAGCACATCATTACTCCTCAAATCAGCATGTTACTGCTAAATCCAGTCTTTCCAGTAGTATAATAAGCATGACAAATGTTAATGCAATCAAGCCTTGTTAAGCCCTCCGCCATCTCCTCAAAGCGGCTTCAAGAGGCTCCTTGTTTTAACTCGAGACTGGACGGCTCCTCCCGTTTCCACACACACAGTCTCCAGGCCACCTGCCCCCACACGATCCAACAATTACGCGGCGCGGCGCTTGTCAGCGGGAACGCCGGGGGTGGGACCCCGCGAAGCGCGTGCAGCACCAGAGCGCCGCCATGTTTAGCCGCCGCGCGCAGCTACGGGGGGCTCAAGAGAGCCGCACAAAAGCACGGGCCTCCTATTAGCGTGGCATTGAAAACGCTCCGGTTCTTACAAAGGTGCTCATTAGCACCACACACACCTCTGTTCCCTTCAGCCCACCGTCCATATTCAAACCGCCCGACTAAATGTGTTTTAAGTTCAAGGCCGGCTGGAAATGCGTTTTTGAACGGGTGTTTTTCAGTCGCGGTGGATGAGCTGCTGTTGGAGACGGGATACAATGCGTCTTCACCCACCCTGGGGGGGGGTGGACATTTCCCCGCCTCCCTCGGCATCAGATGCATTAGAAGATCAATGGCAGCATATAGTGGGATGAAACACAACACTTCTCGCCAAGCTGGTAAACACGCAGTATATTTCGATTTTTTCTTTTTTAGGAATCAGGTGAAGTACATTCAGTTTAACCTAAAACACATTTTAAATAATACACAGGCATACTCATACACAGTGTGTGTGTCCTGAAAACTTTGACAAATGCCTACAATCTTTATTTGAAATCGTCCCTGCACCAAAGAACATATATATATTTTTTAATAATAATTACAAAAAAGTGAAATGAGCCGAATTAACATCAGCTACATCCTCCGTGTCTTTAAAGCCTTATCGAAGAGAAGAATCGCATTTAGTAGAATGAGATTTCCCAATTAACGTGAGTTATACGTCCGCAATAATCCATCTGAGAAAGCTTTATGTGATCATGTTGGCCAGGGATGACATTTATAAATGCTGTGTGTGCACACTCACCCAAATGGACGCCTCACACACCAGATCCTGCCTAGGGGAATCAAGCGAACCCCCCCCCCCCCCAACCCACCCAACACGGCACCGCATGGTCCCCTCGCTGCAGCTTGACCAAGGAGCCCAGCGGCACCTTGGGCTCTTCCCACACAAGGGACACGTGCTCCACACTGAATAAATTGATAGTTGAAATAAAGAAAAAAGAAGCCTTTGATGAATACATTGGTCGCTTCTTTAAGACGTGCCCCCCCCCCCCCCCCCGGACACGGTGACAAGTATTGACTGCAGTGTTTTACGGAGAGGCTCCTTGGCTGTTTGCTCTATCCGTCAGTGTGTTGTTCTGGTACCGAGGCGTCGACTGTCAGCCACGACGCATCAGTTGAGATACAGAAACGCCCTTTCCTCTCCGGCCATTAGCACTCACCCTGATGCCGTCTCAGGCAGACTGCGTACCCCAAAGCGTGTTTCCGATGTGCCAGGAAGTGGGGGAATGGCTTCCGTGCAGCCAGTCAATTGCCCTGTTACAGTTAAGGAATCCAGCAGGCTGGTCCCACTCATATTTCATCCCAGGTAAAGATTAGCTGTCAGGCCCACGGGAGATGTATTGATCTGTTTTCCTTTTTCCGCCAGCAATCACCTGACAAAGGCACCTAGGAGGCGAGTGAGTGAGTGATGCCCGGTCGGTCCGCTTCGGCGTAGCGGCTGCTAGTGTCCACCGATGGGTGGAGAGGTGTTGAGGAGGAGAGATAATGCAGTCATAAACTCTGTTTGAACCTCCTCCGTATGCCCCCCCCGCCCGGGTCACAGGTCAGTGGGGGAATTTGCGTTTTCAAAGTGGCGTTTTTTGTCTTTCTTTTTAGCTTGTAGTGGCGAATAACAAAAACGCACGCAAAAGAGGCTCTCTGGTTCCCGCTGACAAACGCTCGTTGCGGGTTAAAAAAGTCATGCGGTTTGATCTGAACTTCCTTCTCGCAATGAAATCCAAGCTGCATTAGTGATCAATTTATTAATCATTCTCTGGTGTTTTTTGGCAGCTGAAAGTATTTATGTATTTGCCTTGTGCCGTGGAATGTCAGACCTGATATTATCTATGAATCCGTGTATCGCACTGTGTAAAATGTGTATTATTTATGAAGTGATGCATAATTACAGGTCCATTAATTGAGGATTTAGGCATGATGACATTAACTTCATTACATCAATTTCATGATAGATAGTAGTGTAGATATGTCTCTAATTTTTCACTTGTCGTATTTTTTAAATGTCATTTACATGGATTTAAAAAGATCTCCCTGATTTCAGGGCTCTGAGGCAGCTATCCATATTTGATACGTAGTACAAAAAGCATCTTATCTCGTAGGCTGTTATCTTTGTATTTAATAGCAATGGAGGTCTGCGTAATTGCTTCGCAAATGATCTGAAGAGGATTAATCCTGCTGTGTGTCGCCAGATGTGAGAGAGACGTTACAATGGCAACATTCAATCAAACCTGCAGTGCAGTGTTTAAGCAGCAGCTTTTCTATGGCGGTGTTGTGTCCAAATAAGCGTCACTCTGCTTTTGAATAAACTGTGTATGAATGTTATTATGGGTTAAAAGCTGTATTAAGAAGTAGTAGTTCTACACGTGTCATTTATGTATTCAAAATGATATAAATGGGATTTAAAACGAGACGGTGTGATGTCATTTTTCCATGTCACAAGTATTCATTAAAAAAAAAACCTGCAGGATATATTTCAAGTACCGAAAGATGTGTGCAGTGAATAAGTGAACATGATTTTATCTTATAAGTAACTAAAGTAAAGTAAGTAAGTGCGTGTTCTTCTTCTATTGGTGGCGTTGGGGTGATTGCTGCACACGCCGGTTTGTTTTGCTCCGTGAATCTCATAGTTACAGAACATTGTACGAACCGTGAGCACTGGTCAGTGGTTTTGGGTACTTTGCCGGATGTTCATGTTTCTGTGGATCCGTCTCTCGTGTCTGTCGCACGTATTTTGTCATTCGATATTGTCACAGCAGAACATGCGCGTGTAGTTTAGGTGAAAATGAGGGCGGATTTGAGGTGTGTAGTCCTGTATAAGGCCTTGGACTACTTTACATTTGAGATATTTCACCCCTATATTTTGATTTGGCAGTATTTAATCTTCTTTTTATATGTGGTGTAATAGCATTGAGGCGCCACTGCTCCTGTATATTGTGGAGATGGCAATAAAGGAGTTGGAATTACATTCTTATGACCTACTGTAACTTATTTATATACACCTTCTTTTGTATTTGTATGAGATAGTATATTAAAAGTTTCTTTGCAAACTTTCTATGACACACTAAAGGAAGACTTTTTATGACAAATACTATCTGTATGTGACTGTAACATGAAATCTCATAACAGTCTTCAGTCTGACTTTTTAATGTAATATTAAATTCCTCTGTATTACTTTGTTCATAGCATACATTACTGGGACAATAACAAGACTCTTATTTAACTTAATCCTTATTACTTACCAGACTACAAGTTTTAGGCCATTATATATTAATATATTTTAAGGGCATTTATTGCATTAAAAATTGTTAGATAGTTTTAGTAAAATAAAACGTTTTTTTTTCATACTATATTATATTTATCCCTTTTTAATATGAAATACTTTAAACAACAATTTTTAGTTAAATTGACATATTGTATCATGACTTTTTTTAGACACTTAGTAGTAGTATGATTTTGATACGACCAAGAAACAAACATGTTTGATGGCGCAGTAAATAAAAACTGTTACAAACTGTACCATTTATTATGAAATTTATGGCACAATATACTTACATTACATACATTTCCATGTTATACTGTGACTTTCATAACGACATTTTAAATGTATACTTGTGCACAGCTCATCGCATCCCATTGAGTGCTACAGCTTGTTTTAAGTCCTTTTCCCAGGAAATATCAGATCGAGTGAAAACCGCTAAACCAAGAAACAAGACTAAAGTCCAGCTGTGATTGTCTCAGGAACAACGATGCTTTGAGCTGAATGCCGTAGTCAAGTTAGCTCATAGTGGTTTATTGTTCTTCATTTGTAATTTTTTTAATTAGTTAATATGTAAACATGTGCTTAATAGTGCCAAACAAAAGGCACAGCTGATGGTCTGTACACGTGGGTACATTATTAATATGGAGCTAGATGAGAAGTAAAGAGTTCACTAAGGCTTAGAATGTACTGAGGGGTATATTGTAAGACATTTAAATAAAACATATAGAAAATAGAAAACAAGCAGGAGGACATATCATTGGATTTCATAGTCTTGTGAATATGAGAAAAATGTCATGGCAATCCATCCAGCATCCAGATGCTTCAGTCTGACCCCAGAGGTGACCTCGTGGATTGAACTCTGTCACCTGCCTCTGGCGCTGCCACAAAGGTGCAAAACGTTATATGTGATAAAAAATGGACTATATCTGCACTGAAACAAGTTTGGTGGGACAAAAAAAGTCATTTACCTTGAGCTACAGTATGTAACCCAAATACTGGGTGAAAAGAACGAACGGCTGAACCGATGAGAGAGCGAAGGTTCACGTTGAAGTGGCCCCCCATCAGATCTTTACACTTTACTTTTGTCCTGTTGAACACACATTTTACTGTGGCTGACGGAGAAGCGACTCCCTTCGGCAGACGGAGCTCGTCGTTAGGCCCCCGCTGGTAAACCTGTGACTGAATGCAGAAGACGGCGGTGGTCGCTGCGCCTCGCGTTGAGCGTCTCGGCTCACTGCCGTGGCCCACGGTTACAAATCACATCATCAGCTGTCTGAGCACCAACGGCCTCCTCTTCTCCCCCCAGATTGATGGTGAAATGGAGGAAAAATCAATGGCTTCCTCTCGTCACAAAGAGCCAGCTCTGTCATGTTTGGGAGTTTGACGTGTCCCTCTCTCTCTCTCTCTCTCTCTCTCTCTCTCTCTCTCTCTCTCTCTTCTCTCCACGCTGGCAAATGGAGAAAAGCCGAGTTCGGACAAATTGACAGATGTGAATAGACTGGAGTGTTTCAAGTCAATTTGAGGGCCGATTTCAATCGTCTGGAGACGATCACAGTGATCAGGTTGAGTCTGGGAAGATCCCGTGTAGGTGACCCAGTGTGTAGCAGCAGTCAGTTTGGTTACCAGTCCCCCCCCCTCAGGAGTCTCCCTCCATCACTTCATCCTTATCACCACCGTGACACGCTGCAGCTGTGAAGCAAGCTTTCCATTCACGCAAGCATCACTGAGCTTTTTTATTTTTTTTTCTTCTTTCACGCAGACTCACATTCCGCCCTAATGGGAAATTCAAATATCACATATCAGCTCAATGCAATATTCACTTAGCGGGAGATAACGCTCCTATTGATGTGTGCCATGTATCCAGTTCAGATGAGGCACGGTTGAGTCTCTGACACCAGATCTGACTTGTGAAACTCGGTGTATAAATCCTGTGTGGAGCTTTGTGTGCCGGCTGTTCTTTCACTCTGTGTGCGTCGGCCCTCTTGTGTGTTTGAGCGCGAGTAAATTCCAGGGGCATCTGCGCTTGTCCTGCTTCTTTTCCCCACGTCTTCACACCAGCACCATCCCTTTTCATCTCTGCTGGCATTCTAATCAGAGCGTTACGAGCTTCAGCGGGTGAAGTACGCAGAAAGTTGTGTTTCCTGACAGCCAATAAAAACCGTATAATCTCCCTGATTCAAGTGGCCCATTTAAAAAAAAAAAAAAACTAACTAGTGCTATCACTCAGACCAACCCCCTTCCCTTTTTTCTCTAATGCCCTTTTTTTATTTAATATATAGCCCATGAAAAATGAGAGACTCCCGCTTCACCGTGTAGATATTTTGTTGCTGATGATGCGAGACGAATTTCCATCACAGCTTTGTTTCCAGCGGGTGAGCGGATAATCTTTTACAGCGCGGGGAGGGAGGGCACAGCGCCCATCAATCTCCGGGGCAGGAAAACCGCCGCCGCGCGGTGGGCCGGCTCGACACGACCAGAACGCGACCGCACCCCGCTCAGGGTCAGGGGCCACCGGGGGGGGGAGGGGCCCGCGTGGACACACTGGAAGCTCACTCACAGAGCAGCCACCTCCCAAACCTTCCGTTAACCTCCAGGAAAGGTGCTTCACTTCCGTTCCATTATTCCTGTCATTGTTATTATGTCGTTTTTCTAACGAGGCGGTCACATCGAGGAGGAGGATCGTGGCCCCCCCCCGTCGACAACTGCTGCTTTTGTGACACAAAGCCGCTCCTGAGGTTTCACCCTCTGTCCTCTCGGCCGTGTGCTTTGGGTGTTCTGAGGCAAACGGTTTCAGCTTTAGCCGTGGCGTCCTGGCCAGGCAGCCTCTTGAGAGAGGGGGGGGGGGCCCCGGTGGCCCTGGTGGCCCCTCTCCCGCCCCGGTGAAGTGGTCCTGCGGGGCGCGCCGCGCCTTGCTCTCCTGATCCCCGCCGCGGAGGAGAGTCTGCCGTTGCTGATTGACAATGATGGGAAGTGGCAGAATCGATGGGAGACAACGGGAGGGAGGCATGTGAAAAATTCTCCCGGTGCTTCCAGTCACAGGCCGGGGGAGGGAGGGGAGGGGGGAAGGGGGGCGGGGGGGGCCTCCGGCACCCCTCACCTGTCATCCTCGCCGCACCCGGATTAGACGCCGTGACAGCAGGAGCAGCCTGCAAGAGGAAGACGCTATGTGGCCGTCGTCTCCGCTGACGGCCTGGAAATGCTGCTCCTCCTGCACACTTTACACAACGCGTTTGTGGCCTCACGCGCACACACACACACACCCGCCCTTCAATTGGGACAAGATAGAACAGTCAAACGAAAGGACGTGAGACATAGCATAAGCTGAGAGGAGCTGACTGCACGGCCACGAATGAGCCGTTTTTAACGCTTGGGTCTCTTTGTGGGTCTGTTTGTGCGTCTGTGGGGCTGCTTGTGTGTGCAGCAGCAGCGGATGCAGGTGCAGGTGTTGTGACAGGACGGGCCCCCTCCATTCTCTAATTGATCAGCAAAAGATGCACATGAAGGAGACGTTAAAGCAAAATGAAGTCATAACAGTGGATTGAGACATTTATTAAGTCTGACGAAAGGCCCTCAGAAACGTTGAGATTGTTTATTGATTTTTGTGTTTTGGCTGGCTGCACAGGAGTAATCGCTCGTGCTGCCGCTGAGGCCACGGGTCTCGGGTGCAGCCAAATGTTCGATGGAGGCGCTTACTTCCTCTTGAAGGAGGCAACTTCAACCAGCAGAGAACACAGAGCCTTCATTACCTCCTTTGTACGAGGGCCGTGACCTGAAAGGCTGCCAGTTAGGAATGCCAACCGCTGTCACGTGAAGTCACTGTTGTATTGGATTTGTATACCGAGTGGAAAAAGTAGCGTGTTCTCAGAAGGCCGTAGATGTACCCACAGGAAAGCTGCTCCTGGAAAGCCGTTCACACTAAAAGAAAGTCCACGTAACGCGTGTGTGTCTTTCAGTGTGGCAACACGCTCGAATGTATTATGTGGTTTATTATTTTTCATTTATCAGCATTACTGCAATATCATACAGCCAAGGTGTCGAAAGGCAGAAGAATCTTTTAGATAAAAAATACCCTGCTTCACGAGTGTGTGTGTGTGTGTGTGTGTGTACGCAGCGTGTTGCTGGTGAGTGTTAGGTAGGGTTCAACCATAC